TAATAAGAACAAAGAATGCTAGGCGCATTAAAAACAAGCATTTTTGTTAAAGGGTAAAAAAAAATAAACAATTAAAATGCAAAAAAATTAATGTTTCCGCCCGGGATCGAACCGGGGACCTTCTGCGTGTTAGGCAGATGTGATAACCGCTACACCACGGAAACCATGCTAGTTAGGGTAAAAATAGAATCTTTTAAACCACTTCAGCGTCAATAATTATATTAATGTATTCAGTTATTTAATGAATATTGTATGGACTAAAAAAATAATGTCTTCATAAACATTATAAAAAAACATAATTTAACATAATTTAATTAAATACTGCTAATTTAAATTTAATATAAAAATACACATTTTTATTATGTTTAAAACAAATATGTTAATTATTGTCAATAATTTTTTTTTCCGTTTTAAAATTTAACCCATATCTTAATCCACAAATACTCAAATAGGATTATCTCATTATCTTGTGATGTGATCGATTCTATCATATCATAATACTCACATCATAAAATATAATATGTTCTATTAGATATAGCATATATTTTGATAATATATTAAAACTAGGGAGTAAGGACTTCAATATTATGTATAATAAAAATGAAGTTTAGTTAAAGAGCATAACATTTTATAATTATTAGCAGACCATTGAAATGCTATATTGCTATAACCTATAGGTAATATGATTTAAGATAATAAGATTACATAAGCGTAAGGCGTAACTCGCAGGTAATAGTGAAAATATGTTATGCATGCCCCAAGCATCTAAAAAATTGCAAAAATATGGCATACGACCATTTCTTTTTTGAATTCAACTTGTTTTTTTTTACCTCTCAGTGTAAGTGTTAACTTTAATTTTCAATATAGGTAAATTAACGGGACGGGTAAAAGTGAATTGCCGTACATGGGTTTTAAAAGTGTTACCATTCTTTTGTTTTTGGAATTTACAAATTCAGATTAAGGGGCTTCTACATTAGCATTTATTAAGGCGCATTATGTAGGCAATTTTTCACTGAAACTAAACATTAAGCTAAAATTTGCTAATATATATATTAACCTAGGAAATAGGGATCTATTTTAATATTTAATTATTTTTTCAACTTTTATAACGCATACTGTTCCTATTTTTATAAAAAATCATGTTGCTAAAATACTCCGATTTAAGTAAGAAGTTTTGAAGAACATTTTGATTCTTCATAACATTTGGGCACAATTTAAAATTATTTTCCAGCTTATTAATAATAATTATTTAGTAATTGTTACTATGTAAAAAATTGAAAATTTTAACGATTTTTACAATAACAAAACGATAATAAAAAATGCACTTCGATAGATACATCAAACAAGTATTGAAAAATCTATATCTGATCTAGAAAAAACTTAAGCAACACTCAGAGTATAACTACAATATTATATATTATAAAATATTTAAATAAACCGTTAACCACAAAAATAATACCCTAAAGCGTATTTCGGCAGCAATATTACCACCTTCAGCTTCAGAAAATAAAACAGACTGAGACTATATTTTAGAGTCTGTTTTTAAAACTATTATTGGATTATGCGTTTTTTAGAGTAAAGTTCAAATTAGAATGACAAATGAGTTGTTTTCGTGCCAAAACAGATGTAGGGTAATAAATTGGTTTTAACCATGTACGCGTACGCTATACGTGCGGTTAATGAATTATACTTAAGGTAAGTTGGAATAAATTCAAATTCGAATGCATTTACTTACAAATTGCATAATTTTGTTCAGTTTACATTTTTTATTTGTCGACATCGTTGAGCCCTGGAAATATTGAAATTTATTTAAAACTGTAAATCATATGTTTATTGTTTGTTTTAACTTATATTACTATGTTGATATCACTACTTTATTTCTAACAACACGACGCAATGACCACAGCATATTATTATCTCATACGTTTTATTAAATTCTCAAATGCACATTTCATCAAATTATTTGATATTTTATTTTAATTAATCCTTAATTGGTCGATCTAAAATTAGGCCATTACATAAAAAACATACCACTTTGCTAGACATATATTTGTAAATTGTAATTAATAAACAAGCTTATGAATATATGATATACTAACTTATTTAGCGAAGGATATAATTTGGCGGTTTTAAAATTTCTACTGATAACATAAAGTATTATTATGTTTCAACATACATTTGAGGACTTGGGGTGTTTACAAAAAATGTCAAAAACTCTGGAAGAATAAATTTTTCAGTATGAGATTTTACAACAATGTTACTCTGTACTTGATTAGCCTCTTACCCAAAAAAGTTTTAAACACTAAATACATACAACTATGATAACATTTTTCTAGAAAACTAACATAGAACAAACTTTCTTAGTAAAAATATTTTGTTTTCAAATAATTTTAGATTCACTATACTAAATATTCATTTATATATTTAGTTTAGTATATTATTGGGCTTATACATCTGTATATTTTTGAACGAAAACAACTCATTCTTATATTTAGAAACCGTATTTTCGAAGTAGATGCATATATATTTGTTTTCAAAAATAGGGTTAGTATGTGTAATAAAAGTTGAAAAAATAATTAAATATCAAAATAGATTCATATTTCTTGGGTTAATATATATACTTACAAATTTTAGCTTAATGTTGTTTTAGTGAAAAATTGCCTTAATAAATGCTAGTGTAGAGGACCCTTAACTTAAAATTTATATTGTTTATAAGGTTCTATAATGACCCTTAAAAATAAGACTAATGCCAAGTTCCATTAACGTTCATTATATTTTTAACGTATTTAAAACGTAGTAGTTCCTTTAACTTAATCTAATAGCCCAATCTATTAAAGTGTACCATACTTAGTTTAATAAAATATTAATACTATATATATTTTTGTGCAACATAGCATTAGGTTTGTCTGCGCGGGCAAATTTTAATTCTCCTAAAAAATAATACATAGCTTTATGTAGGGTGAAGGAAGGTATTTTACTCCTAAAATGATACTACATAATTTACACAACTATCGGATACTCTCACTTGAGTAGCTTAACTTGTCGGCAGAAAACGGTACGAGCCACATCGAACCACAACCCAGAAGATGGAATGTGCAAGTACTTCGAACGTTGGTAGACAATTCAAGCTACTCAAGTTGTGTAAATACAATACCCTACTCAAGTTTTAATAATTTTTTAAATTACATAAGTCAAGGATGTTAAATCGACAATCATTACGAACAGCAGCAAATTTCAATTATCTAGCAAAAAAAGTTACTGTTCATCGTACTTTTGTTATAATTTCGGATCCACGAATCATAACAAAAATAATGTATTGTATTTTGCAAATATATTGTAAGCCATATTTTATTATTAATTAATAATATAAACAACAATACGTTTTTCTGAGGTTTTCTAATGAGTAATTAATAAAATAAAATGAATAAAACTAATTGAGTGTATTCGAATTTTGTTAATTTTAGCTTCGATGCAATAACAAGAAGCTATTGGTTTTTTATAATAATGTTTTTTTCAGACACGATAGCTTTTTTTTCTGTGGACCAATTTATTTGAGTAGCACCTCTATAGATCAGAAATTGTAATCAGATTGTACTTTTGGTAGATCAATAGGATTCAACCGCCAACTTTAATTTGCTATATCTTCACGAAAAACAGTCGGATATTATATCCGGGATGTAGTAGAAATTTGTATAGAACATTGATTAGGCAGTCTCTATCCACACAAGCCCTAAAAACCCAAATTTCAACAACACCACGCACCATGGAGGAGGGGTTTGAATTTTTTTTAGGCGCAAATTTAGGTTTTAAGAGCTGAAAATTAGTCTGAAGATAAGTTTAACATACCTATAACAATATACCTAAAACATTTAACATTTTTTTACAATACAAAAAAAAAAGAATACAATGTTGTCGTTATTATGTAAATCCTGTACAGTGTACATGAATAATTAACTAGCTAAAAAAAAATAGACAATTAGATCAAAACGAGCTAAGTCTGAATCGAGCACAGTATAAACCAGCACAGTCTAACCCAAGCACAGCCTAAACCAGCACATTCTAAACTTAGTACAGTCCGAACCAAGCACAGCCCAAACCAGCACAGTATAAACCAGCATAAAAGAAGTTAGCAAAGTTAGTTCAAGCACAAAAAAAAACAATCGATATTTTTATGAAATAAAACTTGATGCTTAAAAACCTGGTGGGTAACAAATGATGTAATAACTGATTAAATAACAATGATTTAAAAAAATTATGCTACAAATTACAATTGACCGAGCTATGTTTAAAAATGGTAAACATCCTACAGGCCGCATTAATTTCCGATTTTCGAAAATGTAATTTCTATGCGTCGTAATAAGAGTTAGAATAATAGTTTTTAACTTTTGTTTTTGGCTAGGTTGTGCTAATGCACATCGAGGTAAGGTTAACGTAAGCACTTTAATTGAACAGTGATTCACGGTTTATTATCCACTCATAAATATTATAATTTTTGTTACATTCAAAATGTATTTTGTGTAATTAATCCTTCATTGGATAAACCATCATTGGAACGACGTCATAAAAACCGGAATCTTAAATCCTATGTATATTGGCTGGATAAACAATTGGCTGATGAATTGAGCGCGTGCAACGACGATGAGTAGGTATAATATCTTGCAGACATGAAAAAAAGAGAAAAAAAGAACAACATAAACAAAAACAATGCACAAGACCTACAACAGTAGCCCCATATTTACGCATATAGGAGGGGTACATATGTGTGCATGTACAATATATATATATATATAACATTTATATCATAGTTGATAGGTTTAACGATTTAATGATAATTTGCACAGTGGCACTAATGCCGATATAATAATATTATCATTATTATCCAGCTCGAGCGAGAAGAGGTGGTAGTAGGATATTAACCGTCTAGATCTATTACAAGTGTGTAAAATAATAATACAGGCCTATCGCGCCGCCGGGGAATATATTCTGTTGCCGCCACTTAAGTCTTAACGCCGACACGCCACGGCCGACAGTGACCACGTTTAAACCGCGAGCGACCGCGACCGCGTCCACACTACCATTCCAAAATAGGTATAGTAAATCAGTATTGTTCGCTATGTGCCGGTGACTGAGTTCGGGATTTTGATTGCCTTTGAATTTGTATATTATTATAGTTTGTTTGTTAATGTTGATTAGTTTTAATGGTTTTTGGCGACGTTTCCGTTCGAATAATAATAACTTAACTGCAATTTTCAAAATATTATAATACAATATTTTTGTTAACGTTGTGTCCCGTCAAGAGTGTTATCTTTATTGGCGCTCCAGGACTATCGCAAAAAAGAAATACATATTTACAGTAAGTAACTTCTATAATACATAATAATTTTAAATAATAGAAATTTCTTGTTAGTATCTGTTGGTATACAAATGTGTTCCGTATTCGCACGCCGTTTTCATAAACGTAAACAGTTTTCGTCTCAAATTGTTTTCCAAACAACGCCCATAGTTTTTTTTAAACATTTAGTTTATAATATTATTGTAATGTTGTCTAAACATTATTTGTAAACTCAAAATAAACGAGTGTTCAAGTTCCGAGTAGAATGCCCGATTTCAACTACGTTGTAATATTGTACGTCTAACGTCACGTGTTGATATATTACTAAATTATTTATCCAAAACCGAGCGAGAGAGAGAAAGAGGGTCCAATTTTGATCATAGGCGCTACTATATAATTTGTAACTGTTATGATTATTAAGATTATTACTTGAGTTAAAATATTGTTAGACACTTCTTTTGTTGAAGGATGCGCATTTTCGTCGATATACGGAGTTCAACAAACACCATTATATTTGGGTTAAAGACTCCACGATTTGCATTTGAATTGTGATTCATAAGTGGAAAATTAAATTTAAGTGTCAATTTTTAGCCCATAATAACAATTTTTACGGTGTATTTCATGCAAGCCATGAAAGCCTAACGCTGCTATCATTAGATGGTTACTAAACGAATTCGTTATCCGGGACGATACATACAATATAAGTACGTCGTCTGTTGTGCGATATATGTTATAGAAAAAAATGTTATCGTTTTCGATGCAAATTTGAATCAAATAAATTAAATGATTTAGTTGTATAAAAATGTTAAAGCATAATGTTCAATTATATTGAACATATTAATGTATTTCGAATGTTATCCATACCGATCATTTTTTTTTAAATTTGAACCTTTCGCTTTTGGGATTAGTAGTTTAATTTTTATTAGCGATTATTTAAATGGCTATTAATGAAGAAATAATGCATGTTAGTACATTGAATTAAAAACAGTAATAACGCGTTCAGCATAATATAGAGGGAAAACGTAAAATACAATGAAAATTGTCCATTTGAAAGAAACGTATAAAATATACTAAATAAATATAAAATAAATTCACTTTTTTTTATTTTTATATTTTAAGGAGAACATGCATTTTGTTTTCCAGTATATTCTTCTACTTATTAAACTATTTACGTGTACTAAGGTACCTGGAAAAACAATGACGGCTAACACGTTTAAATTAATAATTTTAGGATTTTTAATTGATCACGCAGTGTTTTCTGCGTGCCTGTGTGTTGTGTGTATTATAAGGTATATCGGTATGGGATATATTTTCTATGGTGGAGGGATTATATAAACAATTAGCCGTGTGGCTGATAATGTCGATTTGAATCGTACAATTTTAATTTCTACTCACCTAGACCTAATTGTAACCAGTAGATTGTGATTTAGTCGTACGCCGCAGCCTCTTATTATTCACCTTCGCGTTCTTCCAACTCAAAAACGGACAGATTAAAGCAAACCGGTTTCACTTATTTTTCTTAATTTCCAATATTGTTTAACACCAATTTCCAGCATTAGTCCGTTAATATTTTTTACATTGAATAACAAATGACAATAACACAGGTATTTCCAAAAATTATTATTTACTAATAATTTATTTGGCTCTTAAAAGTACCGGCTTTGTCAGTAGAAATTATGACTCATGAGTGGCATAACACGTTTAAAAAAAAAAAAAATGTTAATTAACTTAAAAAAACGGTGTTTGTAAAAAAATTTAATATAAACAAATTATTTATCACTTAATTTTTTTTTAAATATGATAGAATACCGAAATTGAATGTTGCAATAGTCGAGTGTCGTCATAATGCCTTGTTCTTTTTAGAAATGTATTTTTTACTTTTAAAATTTGTTATCAAAAGTTTAGTGTACCCGACCGAAGCACTGAAGAATTTTTAGTCTTTTAGACAATTTTTTATTTTTAGTATTTTTGCAATTGGTTTCTTTTTAAGTTAATCATAATGTTTAATTTACACTTTTTTGTAAACTAAAGAAGAATCTTAAAAATACAGCCTTAATACCTAGTTGAAGTTTAACTTTAGTTTTGATTATTAATTTTTTCGGCAATTCCCTATAAAACTAACTTATTTGTTAAAAACCCGATTGGTTGGAATTGTTAGGTAAATATTTGTTAAGTGAGTGGTTTGTTTAAATTTAATGATCCATAACAATTACAAGCTTAAATATTTCTGATTTTTTTATGAACGTTAATACGAAATTGATATACTGAGTTGTATGAAAATTAAAAATTGTAATTATTTTAATAATGTATAGTCGTATGTATGTAATGTATGTATTTCGGGCAGTGTAGCTGCTATTAGTCATAAGTAATGTAGAAACGTTGAGGATACTTAACCCTAAATTAATGTATTAAACTACTAATAAATCTATTTAAATTTTTGATAAATTATTTGTTATTAAATTATATTGTAATAGTAATAGTTTAACTTAATCAGTAAATTATTGAAATAATATTAAATTGAAACTTTAATATATAACAGTAGTTTAACTACTAGTTCATTTTATTTTATAAGTTTATTTTATTAGTTTTAGTGGATTTAAAAAAAGAAGAGGTTATTAATAAAAAATGATCAGGGAAGACGATCTTACTACTGTAGGGTGGGGAGAGGATAAGACATAAAAGAAGAAAACAGATTAACATATCGATTACGCTACATCTAAGGCTCAAAAACAGCGTGGGCCTCGAATATTTGTAAATTGATAATTGAAATGTATATAAATCTGTCATATTCTTGTAACTCACAATGTGGTATAAACTGTATGTACTATAGGGGTGGGGAAGGCTTCTAAAATTGTATGTATGGTTAGTTTTTAAGTTGGTGCACGTTTATTGCTAATTGCAGAGGAATATTCTGGTCTTATGCGATATGATTCATAAGTACCATTACACTGGCGGGTAATACACCGGCTGGTTTATTTACTATACGAATAAATAAAAACTGGCGGGTGAAAAAAATAAATATGTAAAACTATGACGTTTGCTCATGGGTTTTTCGCAATTATGCACTGGCATGGTGGAATGGATACTCATTACGTCATCGGCGAAGTTGAGTCTATTTATCTTGTGGTATCTGCGGTTAGCCATTGTGGGTGCTTTGCGCAATGCCGGACCGTAAATACAATAATTGATGTACTTGATGTACTTTTTTTCCATATAATTAAATACTTTTAAAACACTGTAATTAACGATACAATTACCATTTACCTTGTGAAGTTGATGGTATATACTTGTATTTTATTAGGTACATTGTGAGCGATTGCAAATGTCAATTAAAATAAAAAACCAATAAAATGTATAACTGCATAACTCTGGTGTATATACCGCAATAACAAGATCATTTTTGCGTTCAACTGAAAAATAAGCTGGAAAAACACGGAAATATTTTCATTTTGAGTGTTGCAACAAAAATAAATAAAATATGTATTTTTAGATTGAAGCTTGAACACTAGGAATTTAATTGAGCTGTCGTTTACATCGTTATTATAGCAGATGCATTATGCAAGGACATTCTCTTGTTTCATAAATGTTTTTGCCGTCCGATTCTATTTTAAAGTTAAAAAGCTGAGCGACATTGATGTCAATAATTTTACTTTATTATATAGTATTGAACGATGTGTATGTATAATATTTTCTTAAGTATAGCCCTTACACGCAAGCGCTATATTCATTTGATGAGAAGGGGAAAGACATAAAAAATGAAATTAAAAAAAAATAATGCGTATGTAGGGGGCACGTACGTGTGCTTATAACGATAGATAATATTGGCAGCCTAGTTAGCAAAAGGCTTACTCGATAAAAATCAATTTTCGGTATATTACACCATTTGAAAGAAAAAAAAATTGCGTCGGCTGGTATAATAATGTTAATATTTCAGTGTTTTCTTTCGTGAAATATGTGTTAAACAGTAAGCAATTTTTTATTGAAATAAATTGAATAAATTAAACGATTTTTCCTTCTATACCCTGTTCGCTGAGAGAGCATGCCGGATTTGAGCATGTAGACTGAAGACTAAACAGCCGTCGAGAACAGGCTGGCAGACAGGGCGGTCTCCGGGGGGAACGCTAGACACACTGGGTGCCGCGCGAGGATGCGCAGAACGGCCAATTTTCGTCGGGTCGCGGTATAATCTCTCAGCAAACAGGGTATAGTGTAAAATTTGGTATTTTAAAGTTACGTCCTCTGCTAACTAGGATATTTCAAAAAAAAAAAATAATGCTAAATTCAACGAGATATTTGATGCAATTTTTTAAAATTTTAAATGAAAAAAATGAATTATATGTAGTTATTTCACCCTTGTTAAATATAAAATTGTAATTTTGAATAATTAGCTTCTCTCTTAGAAGACTGCTATGGATAATAGATCCGTCACCGTTATGATGTTATTTCAATTGTGTTCGATCTTAGATTACATTAGCATTATTATCAACTACAAATTTAGCCCAAAAGATTATTGGATTTTTTTTCCCCATACTCAAGTACAGTTCATTCATGCACTTTTATATTATATCGGGCACACGTAATTCAGTGGTCAAAACATATATTATGTTTATATTATTGTTTTGTAAGGTGAGTATATTATACTATAGTATTATGTTAGTTGTTCGAGGATAAAGCAATTGGGTTAATGGAAAACTGATTTGACAATGTTATTTACAACGAATTTTAAAGTGATAGAAAAACCAGGGGACAAATAATTAATAACAACGCCGTCTTGTGGGTCTTTGTGTGGTTCAATTAATTTATAATATTATTATTGCTCAATATATCTGCCATATTGTAAATGATTTTTTTATTCTAATAGAAACAGCGATTTATGTGAGAAATGTTTGAATTTTAAATCAGTAGACGAATTGGATGAAAAGATTTAATAGATTCTCAAGGTAAAACTACACACGGTAACGCGTTATCTCGGCACATCTTCACTTGAAATTATGGAATTAGGCGGCTATTTTTATTCATTA